GGGGCTGCAAAGGTGGCCAAACTCCAGGATGGAGAAGGGCGTATCTGTGGTCCGCGCCGGCGAAGTTCTGGCTGTCGCTCTGGACCAGCCGGAGCCACAATTCGGGGCAACTTGATAGGACAAAGAACCCACGGTGAGGATGAAACCACGTCCTTGCTTCCGATCCTCTTGCCCTTTTGGTTCATAATAATAGCTACGACCTGTCCGGCGCTTACTGTGGGCCAGGGGCTTTGTTCCCCGGCTCTGCGAATTCCGTGTTCACCCTCAGGACAGCGCGGGAGGGGAGCAGGGAACTAACGGAAGCCGGCGCTGTTAGGTGACTTGCCCCGGTCGCTCTTAGTGGGTGATGGAGAATCTGTCAAACACACATTTGCCTGACTCTCCTCCATGGCCCACTCCAAGATTCACTCCAGCTTCGTTCTAACGGTTTGTGTTGTCTCTTTTCGCCTAACATCATGCTTTATGAGGGGCATTGTGACTAAGAGGCTGGAACCGACTGACTAGGTCCAGAATCTCACCTCCACTGCTTACTAACTGCGGAACCTCTCTGTGCCTCTGTGCAAAATGGGAATAATAATAGCTGCCCCTTTCTTTAAGCACTTAGTTGGAGCCTGTCCCCCACCTATCCAATTATGCAAATCATTGCATTTAATATTTCGAACAACTCTAATAATGCAGGACTTTACAGGGTTATTGTAAAGATCTTACATAGTAGCCCAGCACGTCTTAAGTGTTCCATTAGTGTTAGTGGTCATGTAAACCTTTCTGTGTTGCATATGAATCAAAGGATTCCCTCGTGGGTGTTAATGTTAGCTATTCCCCATCATCGGCGCAGACCTATGGAGCTGTGGTCAGAGCCTAGACTCTGGAGTTAAATTCTTGGTTCCAACCTTGACTTTGTCATTCAGCAAAGTTGGGCAAGTTACTTGGCTTCTCTGTGCCTCTGTTGCAATGATGTGCTGCTGAAGGTGGCTCAGACTGGCTTGCAAGAGCCAGTTGCTAAATATTCAGGGAACTGGTTGCTAAACCATAGGTAGCTTGAAATTAGCTATGGGTGGGATATTCACATCATGGAAATCAGCAATGCTAAAAATGAAGGCTTTCTTTTTTTTTAAACCCTTAGGAGAACTGGTATACCAGCACACCTCTCTCTGCATTTGTTTCCTTATCTGTAAAGTAGGTGTCATTGACTTGTGGGATTAAATATACTAAAACATATGAAGCCTCTAGTACAATGCCTGGTACATAATAAAAGTGAAATAATTATTAGCTTTTATCTTTTCTCTATTATAAATAGAGCTGCTGTGAATGCCCCTGTACAAGTTCCTTATTGCTGAGGATCATTTTTGGGTTGAAGACTCACAAATAGAATCATGGCATCATGGAAGATACATGGATTTGGGGTGCTTTTGCATGTGGCCAAGTTGCACCCCAAAAAGACTGACGGCGGGTTTAGGGAACAAATCGTTTCAGGGCAACACATTTTAAACCGCATTTAATGAAATATGGCCGTGTCACTGATAGAAGGGTCAGCTGCTAAACATCATGGGCCACTATTGGATGCCCGGTGCTCACTTTGGCAGCACATATACTAAAATTGGAACGATACAGAGAAGATTAGCATGGCCCCTGAAATAAAAATTAAAAAAAAGAAAAAAAAAGGGAATGAAAATTGGATGCCTGGACTCAAAGAGCCCAGTTTCCTTGGGAATTTTAGGTTTAAAGTCTGCCCCCCGCTGGGAAACGACACGAGCCCCCGCCTGCTTGGTCATCACCACCCAGGGTAGGGGGAAGGGGGGGTAGTGAGAAAGGGAAGGGGGAATGTGGGCCCAGAGGCTGGGACACTGGAGGGCCACGCAGGTGATCCTTCGGAAGCCTGTACTGACACACACACACACACACACACACACACACACATTATTTTTTGTAATTTTGAATTATTTTTTTAATAAGCTCCCCAAATAGTGTAAGTTTCAGGCCTCGCGCCTGCAGGACCCCTGGTTTGGACGTGGCTGCAGTCCTGCCTCCCCAAGCACCTTCCACTTTAGACCTTTCCTGCTTTTCAGCAAAGTCTTAATTGAGGGTCTTGAGTTCCTCACCCCTCCTTTCAAGGTTCAAGGTGGGATTCCCTTATTCTCCTTTCCAAGTTTTCTCAAAGTGTGTTCCACTAATCACGTGGGGGTGAAGAGGGGCTTGATAAAATGCGGCTTCCCAGGCCCTGACCCACACCCGCCAGTTCAGTCCTGGGGACCACGTCCTGGGATGGGGAGCACCAGGATGATTCTAACACCACTGAGATGGGGCCCCTCACAACAGGCATTGTTGATGATAACCAGGCTGTGCCCACTTGAAAAGCAAAGCGGAAGCCACCCCCACCCACACCCGCACCCCGACCCTCGCAGCCAGACCGAGGGTGACCTGTCAGGGAAATTCCCACCCTGCCAGGCGGGCCTCCACCTCCCTGCCCCGGGACTGTTGCACATTATCCCATTAAACCCTTGGGAACGGTTTCTAATTTATTGCTGGGCTTAAGTTTTATTTAAAGATGACAGTCTATGTAGCAATTTAATGTCTTTGTTTTATTAATAACAACCTGGCAGTGGGGCAGTCTTGGCAGCTGGGGGAACTTTCTCTGCAGAACCTCCCTGGCCCAGGCCTAGGGGTTCAGGAAGAGCAAGGCAAGGCCTGGCCTGCAGGGACAGAGGCCGGGCCGGGCGAGGGGCACTGCTTTATACAGCTGTGGTCAGCCCACCAGCCCCCAAGTCTGCGGGACCCGCTCTGACCTTCGCCAAGAGCAGCCTGCGGCTGGTGGGTGTGAGGGGCTCCTGGTGCTTCATTTGCCTTCACTGATTGGTAGTCTCCTTTCCTCGTTGTTAGAACATTTGGAAACCTAGGCAGAAGCCTGCTTGGCTTGGCCATTTCCTAGGGCTTCCTGGGAGAACTGAGTAACTTCCCTCCCTGGGTCGAGTAAGCCCCTTGCCCCCTGACGCTGGGCTCTGGGAACTTGCCTTTTAAATTGTACTAAATTTACTCTCAAGAGTTTCTTCTGCTTCCCCCAGATAGCTCCCTGCCACAGCAGCCCGGGGGTGGCGGTGGGAGCAGAGGGGGCCCAGGCGGGCGACAGCAGCAGCCCCTTGATAAGAGCTGTCAGGAGGCATCTGCTGGAGTGAAACAGTCCCTTGAAGACTTCTGGGGACAAATTTCCCTTCTAAGCCAGTTCCATCTGTCAAGGGCCCTGCCAAGCACTCTTGGGTCAGCCTTGCTGCCCCCTTCTGCTGCCTGGTGGCCAGGGACCCCTGATCTGGCCTGCCCTCCCTTCGGCTCCCATTCCCCCACTCCCCACTCTGCCCCTTGGGGATGCTGAACACCCCACTTCTGTGCCCCACGGTGTCATCCATCCTGGTTTAATGCCTGGGTCTCTCTGCTCCAGGAGGCCCGGTCACCCAGGTCCTCCAGTCCTCTGCACCTGACAGCGCAGCCTGTCCAAGCAGGAGGGAGCCATTTCATTTCTCCCTGAAGAGCTGCAGAGGCCACTAAGGAGCAGGGACTTGTCCAGAGCCAGCCGTTTCAGAAGAGACCAGAGAACTCAAGTCTCAGACCCAAGTCCAGGGCTACCTGCACGCAGCACCCATTTAGTCACCTTGCTGAGATACATTTCCAGAATGGATACGGAGCTGACAACTCTTCTCTCTCCGTCCCTCCCTCCCTCCCTGGCTTCCTTCCATCCTTCCTTCCTTCTTCCTTCCTTTCTGCAGTTCAGGACATTAGAAACAAAGCCATCACCAACCATCTTTATAATTTCATAAACAAAAGGGCGTTAACACCCAAATAGTAGGAAAGATACAGTCTCAGCTAAAGAACTGTCCTGATGCTTAAGAAAGGTTGTTGCTTCTATGGAGAGGCAGTGAGGGCAGAGGAGGGCACTGTGCTCCTTTCCATATCTCTGGAATTTTGAACCATGGAAATGAATGCAATTCTTTTGCAGAACAAAAACAAAACAAGCAACCCAAGACTGTCCCTACTCTATCAACACAGCTCACTTGGTAAACATTTCCTTATCCTCATTCTCCCTTCCTCCCGGACCAGTGAAGACAGCTTCATGCCAGGCTGTGGCACTGTGGGCAGGCGGCCACCTGGCCGCGCCTGGTCTTGTCTTCTCCATTCATTTTAAGTTCCGTGAGAAAAAGGCCCCACCTTTCATTTCTTGCATCTTTCATTTCATGTTTCCTTTCCAGGCTCTGCAGCCAGACAACCTGGTCCATTTCCAGCTCATCCATTCCCTGCCTTGCTGCTTCGTAGCAAGTTAGTTAGCCTCCCTGTGCCTCCGTTTCCTCATCTGTAAAGGGGGCCAATGATGGGACCAACCTCCAAGGATTGTTGTGAAGTTTAGATGGGGTCTAGTAAGTGCTCAGTAAATGTCAACTATTTGTATTAGCTGTCATCCCCTTCTGGTGCACTCTGTCCCTTAGCCTAGTGTCTGGCTTTGTTCACTCCTTGGAAAATATTTATTATTGTAAAATACATACATGATTGCGAGACACTACGCCAACCCAGAGGAGGACACAGCCCTTTTTCTGAAGCAATGCACGTTCCTCGTGGCTGATCCTGGAGGGAAAAGTCACTTAATTTTGCCTCGAGGTAGGGGCGGAGGAGAGTGGAGTGGAGTGGGAGAGTGAGGGCTCATTTGTGCACAAGTGTCAGGCCCTGGAGGAAGCACAGGCGTCTGGGAAGAGGAGGAAATGGATGACAGGGTCTTCGTTTTCAGGGTAGGGCCCCTGGGTCATTTTCTTTTTTCGGGGCCCCTGCCTAGCAAGTAGATTCCGAGGAGGCTACAAATAACAGGTTGGCGTTCTTGTTTCCTTCCCTCTGGTAGAAACTGGAAACCAGTGGCCATCTGTTGTTTGGTCCACTCAAAAGAGGATGTTGAGACTTGTTTTTTCTTCGGACCCAAGGGTGCTCGGGAGGCCCGGCAGCCCCTGCCTTTTTCGCACAGAGCGTCTCTGAGAAGGCATTGGATTTTTGGTCTGCGTGGAAGTTCTCGGGTGGACCCCTGAGCATGGAACGTAAGGAACGTCCCCCCGCCCCCTTTGGGAGATGTCCTCAGCTGGCCCATGGCCTTGGCCCTGGCCTGGGGCCGGGTCGAGGCTGAGGGAAGTGTGCTGTGCAGGCCAGAGGTGCGCAGGTGACCTTGGAAGGACCACGGTGTGCACTTGGCTTTCTCAGAGGACTGAGCCCTCATGCGAAAATGCCACGATGCCCTGTCTGAGCTGAGCCAACCCTCTGCAACCTGTTTTCCTGCTCCTGTCTTGGATTCTGACTGTTAGGATGATTATTTTAAAACTTTTTCACTTTTATTATCATTTTCTGCTAACTGCAATTCAATCAAATCTCCCCAGCAGGGGAATTGCCTGCCTGCAGGGTAGTAGTTATTCTCAGAAGCCAGATACTGGAGCGATAAACACTTAAGTAATATTTAGATACAGTGTTTCCATGACCCGTTTTCTCTGGTGCCTTACCCGGATTACTGGTTGTAACAAACTGACTCTCTGATTCTAGGCTGGGATGACTTTTTTTTTTAATGTAATGTGCTTGATGTGGTCTAGATGATAAGAGGGTTTAAATAAGTTCTGCGGAGTATTCACTTTCTTTGAAACTTCATTGCAAAGTAGAGTATTTTAGAGGGGTACAGTGTGTGTGTGTGTGTGTGTGTGTGTGTGCATTGTACCAAACCACTCTAGAATTTAGGATTAATGTCTCTGCCTTTTCCTGGACTTCAGTGTTTATTGTGTTTTATTTAATATGCTGTGAGTTTTGAGATACATAAGACAAACCCTTTGAGGATACGTTGACTCCAATGTCGAGGAAGCTGATGTTGGGATATTACTAAAGTATTATTTGACTTGGGGAAATTGTCTACACGCAGGATCATTACACAGAACTTCCTGCAGATTAACAGCAGAAATCCATGCTGTGAGCATTCAGTTCTGAGTGTTACAGATGCCTTTTGAATATGGATTTCCAAGGAATTAATGTCTGGAGAAGGTCTCTGTTAGATATGACATCATAGCCTCTATAAATAATGCATCATAAAATAAGCTGCAAGCAACCAGCCCCAGACATCTGCACCGTGGGGCTGCAGCCATCTGTGAAATAATGGCTTTTACTGAAGCCAGGAACCACATGGAACAGTATAAATGTAAGTGCAAGATGTAGGTACACTGTGTTTGTGTGCTAGAGGATTCCACCCCAGTCTTTCATGACTTTTTTCCTGCATGGAATTGGACTGCTACCCACTTTTCTCAGTCTTTTCCCCATAGTGCGGTTGTTATCAGTCTCTCCAAGGCTCTTGCCTTCTGGCCTCTGTGAGTGTGAAGATCAGCAGAGCCTCCTGGTCTGGAGCATGCGCTCTGGAGCCAGGCTGCCCATTCCTGGTGACCCTTGCATGTTACTGTGTCTCAGTTTCTTCATCTGTAAAGTGGGCTAAGACCAACTACATCAGAGGGTTATTGTGAGAATTGCATGATTTAACTCATGTAGAAAGCTGGGATTAGTACCCAGCACATTGTAAACAATTTGCAAGTTTTAACTGTTATTATTAGTTAATGAAAGACTAATCTGAAGATAAATATCCTGAAAAATAAGTATTTTATTTCATGCAAAAAATTGAAGATCTAAAATGCTTTAGAGAGCCCAGAAGCTAAAACAAACCAAAAAAACCAAAAAACTTTTGATTCATTGGAAAACTGTTTTACAGTTAAACTAAACAACAACAATAAATAAGCCAAGCATGACAAAATTGAAACAAACAAATGCTATCACAAACAGCTCCTTACTCCCTAACTCGGGAGATCATAAAGTTACTAGAAAACATGGTTAACACTTTTTTTCCACCTACGCATTCCAAGCCTAGTTTCTTGTATAATTCATCTAAAATGGAAACTTTTATTAATATCAATGAAAAAGGATAAAAGAGTATTAGAACTTTGTGAATCCAAGTGCCAGAAGTTGGACAGCTGGAAAATCTTGGTTTTGCTTTATTCTTAAGTTCAGAAATAAACCTACTTGCTATTGAGAAAGGTTATTTATTTCTCCTATACATTACTGGGATGATTGTAACATTTGAAGTGAACTTAGGTGGTTTAGGAATCACTTACTTAGTGGATCTCCTGAGTAGCAGAAATGGCCGAGTTCAAGGGCGATCCCGAGGGCAGTGCCAAGCGGAGTGGACTTCTGCTTAGTCTCGTTGGAGGTCGGGGATATGACCTAGAAAAGAGAGACGCCATTGAGTGAATGGAGTTTGCAAGTGTTGCTCCATCAAGATCTGTCTATACTGATACTAATCAAGAAGGACTAAAACTTGGAGCATAGCCAAAAGCCTTAATCAAACTTGAAAGATAATCAGACGTCTTAGAAGAATTCAAGGCAATATTTCTGGAGAAAGTGAAAACACATGACAGGGAGCAGATACCTCAGACAGAAGGATCCTATACACCACATATAGGGGCAGAAGGTAGGCAAAAAGGCAAGAAGGAGTTTCTCTTTAACTAGGGTACCAAAGCCAGGAAACCAATGACCATGGCTATTGAGAGTAGCTTCATCTTGATGTACTTTCTGATCCATCTCTGAAAACTCCTCATTCTCCTGTAATAGCGTCAGCCATAAATGTATTTCATTACATTTGGTGCAAGGGAGATGGTAGCCCAAGAGAGAACCGAACAGAAGGGCCCATCAGTTTTCCAACTGTGTTCCGAGGAGCCCTGGGATTCTTTAGACGCAGTCCTGGTGGGGACAGTTGCCCTTTCTCGTAGGTCCCCATCCTGGTTCCATCCGGTGATTCCTTGTCACCTTGGATAGGTCATTTTCTTTTCTGGACTTTTGTTTCCCGATCTACAAAATAAATGCGGGGTTAGACCAGAGTAGTGGGTTTTCAGTTGTAAAACTTTTTGTTCAAATGAAAGGTGATACAGAAAGCTAATATGCAAAAATGATTAGAGTAGGAGCTAACTGGGGACAGGCTAGCAATTTTCTGATAGTGAGGCCAACTGTCTCAACCTTTTAAGCACTCTGTTGGCCAAATGGGAATCCGCTGCATGTATTTATTTGCAAGACGGTGTGGCAGTGAAAACCGAAACGTGGTTTGGTTTATCATTGAACAGGGTGTCAAGAGTTTTGGAATTCTTTCAGACCAAGGTTGAAAACTTATGGCCAAAGTAGTTGCTCTGCCATGGCAAGAGAAATTTGTGGCCGCCTAAGATCGTTCCTGGAACGGTGAACTTGTGTCTCTACATTTATTTACTTAAGAGAAGATCTGCCGGGGAAATGCAGTAAACTGTCAAACTGTGTTCTCTGGGTAAAGAGCAGAAGAGTAAATTAGTGGAATGCTTGGCAGAACGAACCCTGCTGCAGAAATTTCTTGTAATAATGATCTTTTAATTGGATTTATACTTCGTTGGATAGAAACTCAGTGTTCAGGAGCCTGCCATTTCGGCATTTACAAAGAGAGCAGGAAACTAATTTAATATCCATGAGCTGAAGAGTCACTTTAGAAAAGCTTCAAGTCCATTTGCTTGAGGAAGTTTGTTTCTCGGTTAGAGGAATGGATTCGTCCCAGATAATTCTCTAACATACTCGGTCACCAATGAGTACTGAAGCACAGTCCTTGCTGAGTTTCTGGGTTCTGCTTTATTTTATTTAGCCCAAGTCATCCAGTGAATGTCTATAAATTCAGGTAGTTTCCCCAGGTGCTGGATTTGGAGTCCCAGACGATTAAGAGATTAACATGTATTTTGACACCTACCCTCCACGGAACATCAGAGATCACAGAAGCTCTTACTATTAAGTAAGTCCAGTGTGTTCTGATATGAATTTTCTCCAAAAACATTTTTACCTGTGTGGCCTTGTAGGTATTTGCGGCAATTTATGTTTATAAGACTTTTAAAAATTTCTCCTTTTAAAGTGATTAGCTCTGCTGATTTCTTAATTAAAACTTTATTTTCTCCTAGGTTCAAACTTTTCTTTATAGAAACATGTTTCTAGCTTTGAAAAAAATGTTAATAGGGAAAAAAGTATTAGCCATAAAAATAGTTCACTCATAAGTTGCTATTTTAGGGAAGGGGAGAAAGGAACTAACATTTGTCGAGAGACTCCTATGGCCCAGGGACACCGCTAGGTGCCTGATGGGCTTGAGAGATATGGGATTATCTTCAAATACGCACAAGAATCTTGCCCAAGGTCTTATAGTTTGAATTGGTCAAACTGGATTTTGAACCTCGGTCCATCTAAAGTGACATTTCATGGTTTTTCTTGACTTCAGGAAAGGATCAAATTCTGTAGAAGGAGGCATGTTTGTTTTGTCACTTCCTCCTTCAGGCAGGTGGCCAAAGCGTGTCAGTTGAAGATCCCCTGTCCCTTCCAGAGAGCTTTTAAGCGTCTTGAGTCAGAGTTCAGTGGAAGATATGCAGATACAAAGACTCATCGTCCATTCACTCTACACACCGAAATGTAAGGGGAGGGTGACAAAAAACGCAGGCATCAAGATAAGTGATATTTAATGCAATGTTTTAATAGATAAAAGTTAATGCAAAAACATCCAAAGTTTAAATAAAGTCAGGATAAGTAACAGTGGGGTGCAGAGCCGTGTTGGAGCCCGAGGCAAAAGGGAACATCAGCGGTACCGATCTTGTCTGTATTTAAAATGTTGGTATGCAAAATAGCACGATGATCGTGAGCCTGTGCACAGGTGTGATGGGGAAGCAGGTGCTCTTGAGCGAAGGTTCTCTGGGAGGAGGGTTTGAGTGAGACTTGAGGGCTGCCTTCAAGTTGGCCAGTGGACACAGGTGGGGAAGGATGTGGCGGGAAATGGCAAGTCCCTTCATCACTCTCAGCCTCAGTTTTCCTCATCTGTAAAATGGAGGAAATAGCAGCACCTGCCTTACAGGGTTGTTGTGAGTAGAATGAGTCCGTTGTGTGAAGCCCCTAGAATAGAGCCTGGCACATCACTTAACATAGGTTAGCCCTGGTGGCGGTGGCGATGGTGACCATTGCATGCAGATGTTTAAAAACGACAGCATCTTTGGGCCGTGTACGCAGTCTGAACTTTGTTTTGCAGACACCCATGACAGTGACGGTAGTTCCAGCAGCAGCCGCCAGAGCCTCAAGAACACAGCCAAATGGGCGGCCTCCCTGGAGAATCTGCTGGAAGACCCAGAAGGCGTGAAGAGATTTAGGGTTTGCCTTTTTCATTGTTAACCGGGATCGATACACTACGTGAAGAGGTTTAGATGCGTGTGGGGGAAAAACAGGCCAGTCTTTAGCACTGTCTCTCCCAACTCGAAAGTAGGAATTTCTCACCTGTCATGACCACGTTGGCCACGTTCTCACAGAGAGCCCTGGACAGGCACCGAGGGGCACACGCAGCCTGTTTCTGGTTTTCGTGTAGTTGGGTGGGAGGTACAAAGAGTTTCCAGCTCTGAGTCTCTCCGATGTGGAGGTGTGTTCTCTGGGGCTTGGGGGTGTTACTGGCAGAGAGTGAGGCTGGCAATGTAACTTGGTGGAGGACCTCCCAGAGAGGGGCTCTTGGATGGGAAAGTGCAGATGCCACCTGGAAGTAACTTCTTCAGCCAGCAGAAGCGCCAGGTGTCAGTTGGGGACCACATGTGAATTTCAAGAATGAGTCCCAGCAACTTCTGTCTTAAAGTCTTGGGTCAGGCCAGGATGAGCCCTCATGCTCTTGGTCCCTGTTCGGATTCCTGGGGGTGGGGAGTGGCAGGCCGTACGAGGGCTGCTGCCTCCCGGACAGCAGGCCACCGCGATCAGCGTCCACATCTCAGGGAGGTCCCTGCACAGCGGAATAGCCGCCGTGCCACTAACTGCCCAACGTTCTGCCAAAAGAAAACACACCTCCAACTTAAAATAGTTTCATTATGTCGTTTTTAGACAAGCTTAAAATGTGTTCTTTTCTTTTGTTTAAAAAAATAATGGGCCCGATTTTAGAGGAATGTACTTTGTTTAAACACTGTCTGGAAGGAACTAATAAATCTTCCATTTTAATTTACTTTTTGGTAATTTATTGTCAGCTTAGAAATATGAGTAGATTCCTGCCTCATTTGTACTCTTCCTTACGAGGTCAAAGGCATTAAGGTCAAATGCATATGACATTCTAGCTTTGACATTGAACATACTCTTTGTTTTTCAGGGTGGGGTTTTCAAAGGGTAATTGAACTATGCTCATCTGTTGGATTTTGCCAAATCAGTTCTCAATGGGAAATGTCATTTCTTTTTAAAGTAGTATACTATGTGATTTTTTTTTCTTTCTATCCATAGGAATTTTTAAAAAAGGAATTCAGCGAAGAAAATGTTTTGTTTTGGCTAGCATGTGAAGATTTTAAGAAAACGCAAGATAAGAAGCAGGTATTTATTCCACTCTAATCACTTTCTTAATGATTTTTTTCCTTTCCTTGTAAAGTCACAACTGCCTTTCCAATAGATTTTGAAATTGCCTAAAAGACACCTGATTCATATTAGACTTGAGGGAAGATTTAAGCTTCGGATTAGGTATCTGGTATTGATCAAATATTAATAATTTTAAAAATAGTTCATCTATTTTTAAATGGAGCAGTTGAAATGGACCAATATTTAAAATAAAAATAACGATTTACGTCATTTAGAGTTCAGCATCATGTACGATTTTTTCCTCATGAATAAGTTATGAGGATGTTTCCCCCGAAGTTTGACATGTTAGCATTTTTAGATGTTGTAAAACGGTATGCAGATGTGTAACGATAAAAGTACAACATACATCAGATAGACCGTCAATATTCAATGTATCTTTACAAAGCAGCCCATAGTTGGCAGGTGTCCTACAAAGGAAGTTTCTGACTATTCTCTTTGGTGGATGGTGTGTTCTTTGCAGGAGGTAGCTTATCTTTTTTCTTTCTTTTCTTTTTTTAATTAATTAACTTATTTTGAGACAGGTTGCTCTCGTTCTGGGCTAGAGTGCAGTTGCGTCATCATAGCTCACAGCAACCTCAAACTCCTGGGCTCAAGCGACCCTTCTGCCTCGGCTTCCTAAGTAGCTGGGATTACAGGTGTGCGCCACCATGCCTGGCTAATTTTTCTATTTTTAATAGAGACAGGGTCTCCTTCTTGCTCAGGCTGGTCTTGAACTCCTGAGCTCAAGCTATCCTCCTACCTCACCATCCCAGAGTGCTAGGATTACAGGCATGAACCATTATGCCTGGCCAGGATGTAGCTTTTCTTTCTTTCTTTTTTGCTGTTATTTTGCATTTTTTTAAATTTCAGAATATTATGGGGGTACAAACATTTTGGTCACATATAATGCTTTTGCCTCACCCAAGCCAGGTCTGTAAGTGCGCTCCGCATCCGTTAGTTGTGAGTTTACCCACCCCCACCCAGCCTCCCACCTGACCAGCACCCAGTGAATATTACTACCATGTGAGCACCTTAGTGTTGATCAGTTAGTACCAATTTGATGGCGAGTACCTGTGGTGCTTGTTTTTCCATTCTTATGATACCTCACTTCGAAGGATGGGCTCAAGCTCTATCCAGGATAATATCAGAGAGGCTAGTTCACCATTGTTTTTGGTAGTTGAGTAGTATTCCATGGTATACAGGTAGCTTTTCATTCCTAATGTCAGCTGGGTTTTCCGTAGTGGAAGTTGGGTGGATGAGATTAGGGGAATGAGGCCCCTGCCTGTGCATTTCTAAGAGGTTACAGGCCAAATGCCTGCAGGGCCAGTAAGTAGTGTGAACGAGCTAGGTTTCTGGGATGAGGCTGCAGGGAGCGGTGGGGACTGGGGCCTCCAGGGGCTGCAGCTGGTTGTTCAGGGCCTGTGGCTGGCGGGGCTGCCCTGCTTCGGGTTGTCTCCACCAGCTCACTGATGGGACTCTGAGCGGTCTTCGTGTGCCCACCCTCGGGTCCCTCACCTCGGGACCCTGAGGGCCCTTCCCTCACAGGCGTCTTCTCCTATCTTCAGCCTGGTGCTGCCTGTTTTTCTAGAGAATCTGGACGTTTGGATTCTCATGTTGAAACAATCCAGTTTTTAAATGTTGGAACTAATTTTTTGAAAATTTCAAACCTTGCCTGCCAAACAAAACATCTCCATGGGTGGGTGGGGCTTGTGGGCTGCCAGTTTTTGAGACTTTCTCCAAAAGCCAGAATCCAGGGGTCCGGCAGCCATTGAGTGTTTGCAGACAACAGCTGGGAAAGTGCATGTCATGGTTTATTCAAAGGCTCTTCTAAGCCCGGGCACACTTCTCCAGGGCGGGGCAGCCTGGCCTCCCCCTCCCACCTTCTTTCCCAGGCCCGCCTAAAAAGCTGTGCTGGGCGTGACTCTGGCTCTGGCTCTTCTGGCTGCTTCTCCATCTGGCTGACCTCGGCTGGAGCCTCGTGGGTGGTGAGAGCAGGTGGGCCTGCTCTGTAGTGGGAGGATTGGGGCTGAGGTCCTTCAGGGCAGGAACCTCATTGTTTTCCTCTGTCCCCAGCACCCAGGACGGGGCCCAGGGACAACCATCAGTAAGTGCTGGGCTGAGCAGCCACTGTGGCCAGCCTCACTGTAAGATCCTGGCTTGGAGTTAAGCAGGTGAACAGCTGTTCGTGCATCTGCCTGTTCTTTTGAGTGTCAGGGCTGGGAAGGGGCTACAGGTGGGCCGGAAGTGAGGCAGAGCTGGGACTCGAACCAGCACTCTGAGGTCGTGCTGTTGTTTCCCTGCACACCCTGCTGCCATGTGCCTCAGTTCAGCTAAATCCCCCAAATCCTTGCAGAGACGGCACAGGGACGAGCCAGGTGAGGGGAACAGCCCTTGGCAAGCGCGATGAGCATAGAAATGGGAAGTGCGTGTCTCGTCTGTGGGAGCGAGTGAGTGGGCGGTTGGGGAGGGCCCTCAGGGGAAGTGACTTTTTAGCTGAGACTTGGTGTGGGGGTTGGGGGCAGTGGTGTCCCTGGGGGAGGGGACGGCGGTGGGCAGGTGGTGATGGGCCTGGTGGGAAAACCTGCAGGAACAGTGTCTGAGGGGCAGGCCGCCTTGCTGTGCCTGAGGCTGGCGCAGTGCAGCTGCCCCTGGGAACCTGGGTGCCAAGGTGGGGAGGGTCGGGAACGCCCCGCAGGGCTTTACTGGTGTGCACTGGGGGTTGGGAGAGGCTAAAACTTTCAGCTTTGCCTTTGCCAGCCTTTGAGGCCAGGCAGGTCCAGTGTTGGGTTGTCCTGTCCCGTCCACGTCCTGCAGAGAGAGCTTCCAGAATCGGGCAGCCCCTTTCCACACCCCACCCCCGCCCCCGACACCGAGCACAGGACTTCATGAAGGTTTGCGTGGCAAGCCTGGAATGTGCCTGGTGATCACTTTGGTGCCTGAGAATGCAGATGGTGCCGGCAGGGCCCCAGTCCGGGTCATGTCGCTGAGCCTGGAGACTGTCCCTGTTCACGGGTGCAGGAGTGTGAAGCCGCTTGCCCAAGGCCCCTGGCTAGCTGCAGCCAGAGCCCGCATTCAGACCCGGCCCTCTCTAGTGGGTTTGGCTGCCTAGGAAGTAAAACCAGGGAGAAACCTCTAAGTTACTAACTTACAAAAGGGGAGGAGGACACAGGCCCTGGGAGAAGTGGCCTCGCTGAGTTTCAGTCAAACCTCTCACATCTGTTGCAACGCAAACCCGTGGGAGGGCTTATCTCTGTCTACAGTCAGCTAAAGCCGTTGTGGGGCGATGCGACTCTCACTTTTGCCTCCATTGCTTTAGATAGAACCTGCGTTGGTTTGTTTTTTCATTCTCTTTCTTGGATTATCCAGCACCCACCCACTGCAGCATCTTGTGTCATTTGTGTATCCATCTCCCATGCTGTCTGTCCTTCCCTCTGTCGTGGGCTCCGAAAGGTGGGGCGTCTTTGCCGTCTTCCTGCTGCCTACCCCCTGCCTGGCACACAACGTGCTTCCGCTCCTCTGGGTAGGATGGGGGCCTTCCCCCACCCGGGATGGTGGCACCTGAGGACTCATCGGGTAGGACCCTCACCTTGTGCCGCAGCCCAGCTGTGGCCATGGATTGAGGGACGAGTGTGCCGTCCTCTGCGTGGGGGCTTCATCCTCAGAAGTGCCAAATAACGGAACAGCGCTGTGTCCTCACTGTCCTCCTCGGTCTGTGCGCCCCTCCCGGCAGGCGGGAAAAGCTGTCCCTCAGTTTCTGAGGGTCTCGACACTGCATTTATGGCAGGGATGCTGGAGACCCAGGAAATTGGGAGGGTGACAACGTCCCACCCCTGCCTTGGGGTCCCTGCTGTTGCTGTACCTTCCAGGTGTCCCTATTCAGCAATCAGCTTTCAAAGCAGTTCTCTCCTTTTGCCATTTCTTTGTGGTTTAAAATTTTTCAAAGTGCCTCTTCCCCATCAATATCTTCTAAAACAAATGCTGGGACCCCGGCTCGCGCTAGGTCATGCCCAGGTCCTCCTTTGCCCCGCCAGGAGATGGCATTTCCTGGGTCCGGGACCTTTTTTGTGCCCAGTTCCCTCATTTTGGTGGAAGACAGCTGGAAATAGCTTCCTGAGACAGTGACCTACCAGGTGGACCTGTAGAGACCTTGTTGGGTGAAAGCGTTTTTTTCCTGGTTTCCCGCTTCATTGAGCGCAGAATTCTAGGGCGAAACTCAGAATATTGAAGACATTGTTTCCTTGTCCGTGGCTTTTCTTACAAATCAGTGTTTTATAGGTAAATGGTTTTGTTTTGCTTTCGTTCTCCCTGGAATAGTATAGGATCTTCTTTTCATCATCAATGTTCTAACACTAAAGCAGGGCTTTGGAGGGAAGGCAGCTCGGCTCATGTTCCCCGGAGCCTTGGGGTCTGGACGCCGCAGGTCTGGGACAGGCTCCTAAGTTGCTGCCGTTATTGTTATTATTGTAGTCGCTTTTTTCCTTCTCTTTTCTCTGGTCTCTTTTCCAGTGATGGCCCTTCAGCCCTGGACTGGGCCTTCAATGTTATCTTTTTTCCTTCCTATTTTCTTGTCTTTTTGGCTTTTGGAGATTTTTCAATTTTATCTTCAAATCCTTCTGTTGAATTTTTTCTGCT